AAGTAAACTTAGGTATTTTTCCTTGTCAGGCTATCGGTTATTTTATGATACTCGTATAATCTTATTGGGAAAAAAATTATACTTCTACTTATTGACCACATTTAATTAATGATTAAGTAAAAATGTTAAAGCTGCATGAGCCAGTTTAAAATATTTAATAATTTAATTGCACGATTACTACAAATGTGCTATTATCATTACATCATACGTATAATGTTAAATGAAATATATTCCCAAAGTAGATATTACATGAAATAGATAGATGCTACAAAATTAAATCTTTTTTCACAATATTTTATTTGGTTCGTCAATCCATTTGGTGTCTCCTCCGAATTATGACTTATAGATAGATGTTCAATTGATGAATATGAATTCTTTCAGTATACAGTGTAGTGGAGGTGATATTCATTACACCATATCATCCCGTGGGTATCATGATAGGCCACTGTGGGAAACACATCAGGAGATGGGCAGCAGCGCCTTCCAAGAACTATAAATAAAAACAACAAAACAAACAAAGACTATAAATAAAGAAACTGCGGTTGCCCACCCGCTTGCCAAGGAGGCTCTTCAAGATGAGGCAATCTAGATGGAGGCCTATGTTTAGCAGTAAACTTTAATAGACTGTAACAGTAACGCTTAACATAAATATAAATTACAAATTAACAATTCCTTAGAACTAAAAAAATATATGTACGCAATAAAACATTCATTTTGTGAGACTCGAACTCAAAAATCCTATAGGTTTTCTCTGAATAAAGTAAAGTAAAAAGTAAAGTTACAGCCTATATACGTCCCACTGCTGGGCACAGGCCTCCCCTCATTTCTGAGGGGGTTTTAGGGCAAGGAAGTGTCCGCCGCGCTGCCCCAATGCGTGTTGGCGAACTTCACATGTCTTCGAAATATTTTTTTCTTATTCCTCAGGATTGCAGGTTTCCTCACGATGTTTTCCTTCACCGCCGAGCACGTGGTAAATCAGCACTTAAAATTGCAATTAACAATTTGATTGATGCCGGCGGGGCTCGAACCCGGGTTACTCGCATTCTGTTATATTTACAGCGAGCGTTAACCATCTGAGCTACCACGGCTCTTAATATCTTCAATATCTTCAATAATACAGGATATTTTACGTTCATGTGATAGTGATTTACAAGATAACGTTTTGAGTAACTTGTGCTATGTTGTAACATGTGAGGTAAAGAAACTTTGGCCAACAAATTAACCCTGCACGAGTCCACAGCTGAACATAGTCCTCCCCCAAGATATGCCATAAAGAAAAGGATTATTGTAAAATAATTACGTTTGCTAAAGAATCATGTCCAGTCTTGACCAGAATTTTTATCGCATCTAGTGATGTAGAATATCTTATAAAATTGCATATTCTTTTCTTATTTCGTATCATATAATTGAATTTTCAAAAAAAGCCAGGAAAAAGGTAACGTCCCTTTGTTTATCATTTTCAATAGACTTTTGTAGAAGGAACGTGTTTTACAATGGCTCAAAGGCCCACAAAGTTTTATATTATGTTGAGGAAAGAAAAATAAGTATAAAGACCTTATCTGACAGCTGTTATAACTTCAATTTTTATTTACTTAATAGCATTTTTCCCTGACCTCTAAATGAATAGAAGATAAGTTTTATGTTATTTTAAACAATAATTGTTTTTATACAACAGTAGTTGTAGATAGAAGCGACATGTTAAAAGAATCAAGTGACAGGTCATTCAATGTATGGAAAGTGGGCATGATTTATTACAAAAAGCAATTGTAGCTTATATGGTTTAAAGTTTATTTTAAAATATAGATCTTTTAATAAATTTTAAGAGATTATATTCTGCGCTTCGGCTCTGTAGACTTCGGACGTATCTGCTGAGTTCACTCCGGTCACTCGACTGTCTTAGCTTATATGCAGGAATTATTTTATTACCATATAAGAAATGATTTTAAGACTTGTGAATTGTCATTCTGGACCTATCTCCGGAAGGCAAAGACATATTTAAAGTTCGCTGCATCAGCAATCTAACGGGGGTTGCTGTTAAAGCCCCCCGAAATAGGTGCATTGTTGGCTCACCGATGCCAACTTTACGACTACTGACTACTGAATGACTGCATTACTGACTGCATCCGCATGCCCGAGATGATACAGCCTCCAAGCTGTAGAAATTGCCGCGAAAAGTGACACCCAGTAAATTATCGTGCGTGTTTCAAAACGCCGCGAAATTACCAGCATGGAGGTAAAAGCCGTGTGTGCGCACCAAGCCACTGTATCTTTCTCTTTCGGTGGCCTGCACGCAAACCCGCACCATTAATGTTGCCGAATTATCTACACTGGCCCACAAGCTCCCGCGGAGCCATCACTCATCTGGACAAGCTCAACGCAACGGTTCAGCACATAGGATTTATCGACGCAATCTGTTCTTTCCAGTGCGCCTAATCACCTTACCTAAAACACCACAATCGCAGCCGTAACCGTTAGGTAGAACTAAGCGACTCTCTCTGACCGTCGTGTTTTTAATACACACGGCCTCAGAGATCAAAAAGATGAAAATGCGCTCTTTTTGTGCAACTGATGTAGATGTTCGAACTACACTTTAGTAAGAAATGATTGATTGAAGAGTCGTTGGGGCGACACCCTGACTTACTTGAGCATTCCTCCTGGGACCAGCTTACAAACAATGCTAATGGTATTGCATTGTTCGAAATCAGAGAGCGACTAAACTTCGATGTTATCGTGCATGAGTCTCCAACCCGGTAATAGACCCATTCACTAACAGACATAGACCGGACATCCTCGATGCAGTGATACTCAAGGATGTCCGTTTCACAATTACTTCTATCGAAACGATCTTAGAACTAAATTCGAACCATAGACCAGTACTGTAAACAGGCTGCAGGTGAGGTTCTTCAGACCAAAATCATCGTAAACTTGCGTAAGTTCGATGTTAAAGTCGAGTCTACGACCTCCCAGCACTAAGACACGATTTCAGATAAAATAGACTCGCCATAGGAGGCCATTAAGGTAATTAACAGCAGTCGAAGTCAGTAAGGTTGGTGTGTCGAACAATCGACACTTGAAGCTTCCGGGTAATATTCGACAGCTGATTAGAGCGAAGAACTCGGCCTTAAGACAATACGATCCCTATCGTACAATAGGTAATAAATTTCGACTGCGCAACCTCCAACGCGTAGGTGAAACAGCACATTGCACAATTTAGACATTACAAGTGGGGTTTTTGCTGGAGGATATCAAGCTCTGCCGAATTTAGACATGACAAGTGGGGTTTTTGCTGGAGGATATTAAGCCGTTTCAGACTGCCTTCTGGCAGTTGACACGAGCTCTGAAATCAGAAACAGTCCTTACCAACCCTTAGGTCAGGTAAATCCGATATCGCCTGTGACGAATCTGAAAAAACCAAATGCCTCGCGGACAGATCAGAGAGCAAATGCACTCCCTCTATTGAACCCACTGAACCCGTCCACCTTGCAGAGGCCTAAGCGCAAGTCAAGCGTAGGTCTGACTTACCACCAGCAGCCCCCTTAAGTAATCACGGTAAAACAGCCGTGATGTAAGAAGGGGAAAAGATGTAAAGTAATACGGATAATAAAGGTTTATTTAGCTTGCGTGCGCAATTTATCTTATTAATAATAATTATTTAGGATATCTTCTTCTTTGTAGTCTTTGTAGGATAGTTTTGTAAGATAGATAGAAAGAAGTCTTCATCTTTGTAGGATATCTTATTAATAATAATTATATAAGAGCCGTGGTAGCTCAGATGGTTAACGCTCGCTGTAAATATAACACAACGCGAGCAACCCGAGTACCTCGCCGGCGCCAAGAAAATTGTTAATTGCCATATTAAGTGCTGATTTACCACGTGCTCGGCAGTGAAGAAAAACATCGTGAAGGAACCAGCATGTATGAGGAATAAGAAAAAATATATTTCGAAGACATGTGAAGTTCGCCAACTCGCATTGGGGTAGCGCGGCGGACACTTCCTTGCCCCAAAAACCTTCTCAGAAATGAGACAATACTACGCGATTAGAAAACGGTAGAACGCTGGCACGTCGGACTGTACGTAAATGCATCACTTAAACTAGATTAAAGGGTAAAACTATGGCCCCTTTATTAGGTTTCATGCTTTTCAAGTATGTGACATTGATTTTGCTGGCCTATTTTTAATATTCAGTAAAAATGGACGTGGTAATAAAATCACTAAATGTTATTTGTGTTTAATCGTCCGCTTTTCCACAAAAGCAGTCCGTTTTGAAACAGTCAGCAATCTCAGTACAGAAGCTTTTATTTCTTGTCTTAAAAGGTTCATTGCTAGAAGAAGTAAACTTAACAGCATAAGTTGCGATAATGCAAACACCTGTGTTGGAGCAATAATAAATTGGGCTGACGTTAACTCTTTGAAAGATTTTTTTATAAGGAAGGCATTAAATTTAAATTCATACCGTAAATTTTATTCATTCATACATCTCTTACCTTTGGTGGACTCTGGGAAGCCGATATAAAAAGCGCAAAATACCAACCAACGTATTTTAGAAAATACTAGCCTTACTTTCACACAAATTGAAGCCATCCTCAACTCCCGACCACTTATTCACTTATCACCTAACCCAACAGATCTCTCTCCTTTGTCCTTAGGGCACTTTCTCGTCGGGCGGCCGCTGGCCTCACTGCCGTCAACACCAAACATGAGCTCAAAGACAATACGCAACAGATATCAGATGATGGAGCAGATCAGGAACCACTTCTGCAACAGATGGCATAATGAGAATCTCTCCTAACTACATCGCGGTCGAAATAGAAGATACGCCAGAAGAACCTGAAACTGGGTGACTTAGTATTCAAAGAAGAAAGCTTAACTCCTTTGAAGTGAAAAATTGGAATTGTTCATCAACTATATACTGGAGCTGATGGCGTTAATAAGGTTGCAAATTTCATTATATACCGAGGCATCGAACGACGAGCACTTAATAAAGTTTGTCCTCTCGCAGTAGACATAGATGTTAATGAAGATGTTGAAAAGGCTGCAACAGAAGATGCTAATGCTGAAGAAGAAGATACAGTAGATGAAGACGGTACTCGTGAAGTTTTGAAAGTAGACGTTGCTCCTTTCAAGGCCTCCCAAGATGTTAAGGCAGAAACAAGACCGCAGCGAGGTGACGGTGAAACATGGAGGGGCAATCGGCGATCGACGCATTCTACAAAAGAAGACGGAGAGTAACCCTCACACTAGCTGGAACCAAAAATATTATACCTTTGTTACTCTAATTATAAAAATAATGAAAAGTACATACAAGTTCTGTGAAGAAAAAAAATTTAATCCTTAAAATTTACAAGTTCATTAAATTTTCAATCCTGCATAACCATTTTAAAATTCCATTATTATTTTAAAAACGGCTGTAACACATTTAAATGTGATTAGTTATTCAACTGGTAGCAAAAAAGTGTCTATCACACTATACTCCACAGAGCATTCAACTCAAACTCAACGCAGACTTCGTAAGATATGACGAAATACATCTTCTTTTCAGTTATAAATGATCTTGTAGTGGCCATTCTCCCCCTTCCGTGCGTCGTATCTATAGTAATTACGATACAAGCAAGTAATATATGGGATACGCCTAAGCTTAGCAACTAAATTAATGAGAATGGCTTGCAGTTAATTTATTTTCACTAAGTAGAAAATTAGTTAAGATAAAATCTATACGATTAAATAATTTTGATTTCTTTTCTTACTAAAAGGAATTTATAAAATTAATTAAGGTATTCATATTATTTTAAAATTAAGTTTTTTTTTGTTTGTAAGCCCGTTACTTTTATTCATGTTATAACAACAGTTTTTATTAAAAACCTATTTTACTATACGTTATGGGTGAAAAAAGAGCACACAGTTCACCAGTGTGGCCTGTAAACTGATATCTCAAATGGTTTTCATTTTATTTTGAAAAATTTGTCAAGTCCTTATTGGAAAACCCTTTACTTACACGAAGTAACAAATAAATAATCAGCAATGATAGTACAACCACGATATTATAAATCAAACTAAGTTCACATTTGTTTACAACATTTTGAATTTGGATGCAACCTGTGATGTCACCCGCGGCGACTTGTACTACAAGTAAACAATTAGTGAAGTAATATCTATCTAGCGCCCTCCGAATCTATACGATGCACCGAGTTGACTCGGTAACTTAGTAAAATTTATTTTCCCTCAATTATCGAATTGGACAAATTCACTCGATTCACTCGAGTGAAATAAAACATGGTTCGAGTCACGTCATTATGGTAAGAACAAAATAAATTCTGTTGTTATTGGTTAAATATTTTTTGATGTTCGCACAATTAATACATGTTTGAATTTTATTTTCTAGCATTAGAAGACTAATGTTTAAGAGAATAAGGATATTATCAACTGTCATGAAGGTTAGCAAAATATTAATTTAGACATTACGTATATGTTTCTCTTTTTCATTTTTTGTGGTAAAATTCGAAAATAAAACTGACGAGTTTAGGTTAATTAATATAAGAGTTTATTGATTTACACCTAGAATTTGTGAAAATCTATTATTGTGTTTGTTGAATTACCTAAAGTAAATACAAATAACAAACAGGTCTTAGAACCCTATTAGTTTGTTAAAATTGACAAAGTATTAAGTTTTTGTTACGAGTAAAATCTAAATTAAATAATAAATAGAATAAATACACCAACGAAGTTATTATAATGTTAAAATAAAATTAAAATATTTGGGTCGAGGAATAAGGAACCTTCTCTATTTGATACAACTTCATCGGTTTTGAAGAGCAATTCATTTAACTGCATTTGTGTACAAATAGGTAACTTATGTATTCAGCAAGTTGCTTAATACTAAATGGCTTATTTGTTAAACCAGATACGCATGCTGGATTTATACCAGCCATAGTAGATAGGCAATATAAATGGTACATATATTTATGTATAAAAAATATAGTAATTATTTGTACTAGAAGCAAATATAAAGTTTGAATAATAATAGTTTGCGTAAAAAAGTGTAATGGTTATATCTATTATGCTTAGAAAGCTGTGTTGTTTACTCTGCAGAAAGGAATATTATTTTGTCTTCTAGAATCTGATATACTTAATATAACAATATTATTTTTTTCTTAATCTCCTATGTACATGAAACCGGTGAAAATAAAATGTGAGACAACTTTTACATAGTCGAATATCGTAATTACTGCTTCTGTATTTGATCAGCTGGAGCTGATTAATGCTGTATTATTTAAAATTATTTCTTTTTTTATTTAACATATGTAAAGGCAGATATAAGAAAATACTGTCAGAAATATGTAAATATAGTTTATTTACTTTGAAGGTATAGTCTTATCTCATATCTCTTATTATTAAAAATGTCCTTTCGATTCCTATATAATAAAGAAAAAATAGCATATTGGTAAGAATTACTATTTAGTTAAGACACCTTTACAATATTAATTAACTTCTTTTCAGGTGGATCGCTTAGAACAAATCTGTATGCCTTGCAGGCTGAAAGCTTGTTGAGAAGAAAAGTGTGTGGATATTAAAGACAACAGTCTTATATCATAAATCTCTTATGCCCTTCTAATTGTTTACAATATCATAAATGGACATGTTACCATCAATTTATTTTCAAAAAACCTTCAGAAATATATCTAACACAAAAATGTTTCTACCTATGTTCATTATAAACAAAACATAAGAAACCATCCAACCAATTTTAATGACAATGTTTGTGTGTGTTTGAATGGCTCCCTGGATGGTTACTATTTACATTTGGACCCGGTTTATGGCACTGTTGTCGAGATCCATATATCACCAGTGCAAAGCTGAGGTGCATCGCTAGTAATAAATACATTTAAATTATACCTGTGTTTTTGTAATCCGTACGCAAACAGGTTAAAATATCTAACTTCCTCACTATTTATAATTGTGTAATAATATAGATAAGCATGTTAATTCCAAGCCATTTTATTATGATGTATAAATACTTACTAATCAACTAAAACATATTAAAACAAAGTCTTGACACCGCTTCTGTATCTATCTCAATCATCAAAGGTCAAAAACTTTATTAAACTAAGATGTATAAAAAGGGTTACTATAATATAAAGTAATTTATGGATGATAATAACCCCTGGGTAAGATGATCGCTACCAAGCTATTTCTAATTTGTTCTGTGTTGTTAATTATAACATACATGATTGTAAGAATTGTTGTATTTGATACATTATAGTTGATTTGAATTGATTGTAAAAATGTTTTGCGGGTTCTCTTCAAGACAGAGGTTTTTTTCCGAACCAGTGGTAAATTAAAAAAGTGACTTTCAATAAGTATTATTTATAATCTAAATTGAATAGAAGGTTTCTGTTTCTGTGCCTACTACTATTAATATAATACTTAAAGAAATTATGATTTACAATAATGAATAGTGTTACCTACATTATATTTTGTTTTTTTGTAATACAACCAGTTTAAAACATATTTCTTACCGTATGTTGGTAATATTATAAATATAAATGGACATATTATCCCTTAGCCATCTTGGTATTTGGAATTTACAATCACAATCAATCACTACATGTCAAAAATAGAATCCCTTCGACATTTATGCATAGACAGGCACTATGTATTGCCGGAACAAGTGAAAGATTTTACATCGATCCTTAATGCTGAACATACCTACAACTTAGTTTTATATGTACTAATATTCAACTGTGCACTATTTTAACTTATAATACCGATGAATACTACCAGAAAATCACTATCAGTTTATTTTTAGGTTATAGTTCACATGTTAATTATTAATTTCTCAGGACTCCGTTTAGATGCAGTAAAACTAATAATAGTATTGTAATCTATAGATTATAAGGAATAAATCGACATGCATTTCATTAAAAATCTTTAAAATGTGTAGTGGGCCCATTCCACATAAAAAAATTAATTGTCTCCTTTATGACTTCTTTATTAAAACTCTATTTTGTTAAATTTACGGTAACTAATGCGATCAATTTGGATAAACCTTTTTCCTGTTCATTCAGATATTTTCAATTTTACTGAACACCAGTGCACATGATATAGAACTCATAGTTTTGGATGAAAAAAGCAATAAAAGATGCCGTAAAAGCCATCTGATTCAAGTATTTTATCTTTCTCGTATTACGTAGGTTTAGTATATACAAATTCTCCCGTGTTTATTTTGTATATTTGCACATGAATTAGTATTCTATTTCTAATGCGTCGCTGAAAATGTAGGTCAGAATTATTTTGTTGTACAGAAAATGTTCACCGGCCTGAACTGGACCAGAAAATAATAATTAAAGGTTTTTAAGCTTACAATCCATAAAAGTAAAAAAAACGTATGGTTTTGGTGTAAGAGAAACCTTCGCACGTCTTCGCGTAGGTTTCGTAAGAAGCGATTACGGAAATGTCAGAAAATCTTTTAGTCCGATTCAATAAAGGTGGTACACCGCCGAGTATACTATCGTTTTTCCACTTCAACACACCTATTTCCCTTCTTTGACATTCATGTTAAATATATTACCTCGCTGAATATCTTTAGTTAAATTATAATAATTTAGCTAAATTATTGCATGCCTTAAGTGCAAAGGTAGGTATTTTCTAATAGCGCCTATAATTCAAGAATCCTACGTTTTCTCGCATAAAATCGTAACTTACAGTAATATTGAATATATAAATAATATAAAAAGCACATTTTCGGAAAAATAAATGATCGTCGAACTTAATAATGTTAATTTTGAACCGATTAATCCCTATTTTTAGTTTTATCATTTAGTTAAAAATCCTTTTTCTGTACCAATAGGTTGCATATCGTAGTAAGTTACTAATTTCCAATGATCCTGCACTAATCGCATACTTCCCTATTTCTTAAAAAGAACTGTTGCGCGGCATAATTAATGCCGGTATATGGCGGGTGATTATTAGCGCCTTCTAGTAAAGTATCAAGTATCGGAAATAGGAACGTCAAGGTCTTTCTAGCACTTTTCCACTGGCGCCATCAAGTGTCGAGAGCTTTCTGGAGGATTTTGTGCTAGAACTTTCGCCATTCACTTGAACGTTGTAGATGTTTTCGGTAGAAAAGGTCCTACATAAAGTCGGTAAGGAGCGCGATCGGGACAGTATCGAATTGGCGACTCAAGCGAAGACTTCGGAGCGAAATTAAGTGAACTAAAGTGTTAAGTGTGATT